TAAGTTCAGCTGAACTGAAAGCCCCTGATTTTTCAATCGAAGCTTTGTTTGTTCCAACAGCATAGCTGAAATTGTTCTCCTAAAACCCACTGACCGTCTCTCTCAAACCCATGTGTAGGCCAGCAGGGACCCGCTCCCTCCTGAGGCCATGGCTGAGATCTTCGAGGACACTAAAGACATGGGTGTACTGATTGGAAAAGGGGGGCTGTATGGACAGGTAGGCGAGGGAATCTGAAAGGCCACGTGTAAAGCGATTCTTGCGGAATGTTGTGCAATGGAAAAGGTATTTCAGGGATTCACTTCAGTCTTGTAGTGGCATGGACGCTCAATGCCTCAGGAATCCTGCTTGTCTGAACTTATGGAAATAGTCATAGTAAGCACTGAATGTACACTTAAAGGAACAGTTCCTAAAATAAAAAAGTTTTTTTTTAATGTATTTTACAATTTTATCATTTACAATTAGATGTGTATATATAAAACTGTACAGAATATACTTTAAACTTAAATTCATATTCAAGTGTAAGTAAAAAAATACTACAGTAAAATATATGCTAAATGTATCATTTATTTTTTTTAAATGCATTTATTAACATTTTTATTGTTTTTTTATTTACTTTGTTAACATTAACATTTTAGATTTATACATTATTTTAAATTCATATTGGTTAAAAATGTATAAACAAAAAATGAAATTAAAAAAATGAAAGATCATAATCATAAATCATATAGAATATATACAGGTGCATCTCAATAAATTAGAATGTCGTGGAAAAGTTCATTTATTTCAGTAATTCAACTCAAATTGTGAAACTCGTGTATTAAATAAATTCAGTGCACACAGACTGAAGTAGTTTAAGTCTTTGGTTCTTTTAATTGTGATGATTTTGGCTCACATTTAACAAAAACCCACCAATTCACTCAACAAATTCTCTCAATTCAATCTCAACAAATTAGAATACTTCATAAGACCAATAAAAAAAACATTTTTAGTGAATTGTTGGCCTTCTGGAAAGTATGTTCATTTACTGTACATGTACTCAATACTTGGTAGGGGCTCCTTTTGCTTTAATTACTGCCTCAATTCGGCGTGGCATGGAGGTGATCAGTTTGTGGCACTGCTGAGGTGGTATGGAAGCCCAGGTTT